AAAAAAACACGAATAATTAAATTTTAATTCACAATATGACGCAATTATATCAACTTACAAATCATTAAAGATGTTTGATCAGCCATCTTTGATCATTACGTGGTCCGCCAGGCCCTTAACAATTTTTAAGTGGTGGTAGGAACCAATGATCTGTGTTACTCAACAGGTTTCAGCGAAGAGAAGTGTATTTTTTTAACGTTTTTATCCCACATTACCCTTTACGTGGTGCTCAGATCAAACTTATTTTATGTTCTTTAAATCTGGCTTATTATTTATTTATTTAGTGTTCTGTCTGACGACAGGTCCATATGAACAGGATCCTTCCATCCTTTTCTCGGACTGGGACCTGTTCATATACGTTCTTGGCAGATGATCCAGAAGTGGTTTGCCATTGCCTTCTTCTGTGTGTGAATGGAGTAATTGTTGGGATGCCACGGAGGAAAACTCCGTGTTGCCTAGACCACGGCCTTGCCCAACACAAGTTATAAATTCGGGCACCGCCGGGAATCGAACCCGAGACCGCAGGATTACAAGGCCAGCGTTCTAACCGCTAGACCACCGTGGCTTCAAATCTGGCTTATTGTACAAAAATTGATAGGTATGGATTCAAAATGGATGGCTTAGGCTTGTGTGGGAGAATATTATTAAAATTGGTGTTAAAGAATGGTTTAATGTGTCTAAATGTCTTGATGAACGACTATTAGATTTCCAGAAACGATTTCACATAAATGTACTATGGCGTTTACGTCACACGTAGGTAAATTTATCGTATTATTTAATGTGTCTATTTATCTGCGGTTTATTTTACAACGTTGTTAGTAGGTTATTCTACATGACGTCGAATGCTTAGACTATTACTTAATAATTAATTGAAAAGTATATGTAATTAAATGGTCGTGGCCTGATTTAAGATAATCCCCGGAATTTGACTGGAAGGACTGAAGAATACGACGGAAAGCGTTAGTAAATATCGTAATGCTACGTTTACACGGCGAGGGTTTGTAGAACACAGTCAGGGATCATAGTCATACCTGCGTATAAACGGTCGCGAGTGCAGGTACTTTCCTTAGTCTAAAGTCTAAACAAAGATATCTGCGATCGGCTCTCGTCGTGTAAACCATACAGCGATAGAGCCCGTGACCACTCTAAACTCTAAATTGAGCTGCTCTACGAAGTTCAACACAGCTGAACTTTTAAGGGTTCCAACTGTTTCATCAAGATTTTCGGCTACTAAACACGCCTTGTCGTTTTAAGCATTCGAATTTCTAATTGTTTACTGGAATAGTAAATTTCAATCAATTTTTGCCGTAAATAACAAAAGTCTTTGAAAGTATCTTAAATTGTGTTAGAAAGAAAGAAACTAGCTTAATTTTCTGGCAAGTGTTCATAAGTATTAACAAACAAATATAAATATGTTGATAAATAATAATAACAATAAAATAAGAAAAATTCATTACCTATCTCTTCGTTCAAGGGAAGGGAACTAGATGTCCACCAGCAACAAACAATCGAATTAATAACAAAATTCAATAGCACAAAAGTATTTTGTCTAAGACGCACTTCTTCTACAAGCGATTCACAGCTCAGTTCTTTTCAGACTAAGTAAAAGCTGATTGTTGACGGCAATATATACTAATGAAATACAACAATGGCAACGAAAACTATGACGTAACAATTCTAATCGTTATGTCAATATTGTTGCAGGTGTGATTTATAAATTCCGAAACTTTTCTTGCATTGTTGGACACGCAGGTGTTCATATAAAAGCTACGGGAGGGGGGGGAGGGAGAGGGAGAGAGTAGGGGGGCGAGCATTGACTGATAAAGTTAAAGGCTCGTTTCACAAATATACGGCGACCGTCCAAACGGCACCGTTTACACGGAACGGTGAAAAAATCTTTTAGCTGACTACTTCTTAACACCTGTTGGCTCTCTGAAATGGCAGCTTTCAAAGATTTAATTTCATGAACGTTAATCATATTTTTATTACTATACCTATATTTAATTGTAGAACAATTCATAATTCATTTCATTGTAGAAAGTTTAATAAATTCACATTCACTGATTATTACTTCACAAGGTTGGTACATAAATCACGGAACCGGGCATTACACACGGCACGTGTGAAGGAAGCCATTCAACTGTTCACTAGACTACCAAGTAGTGCGCCGTTAGGACGGTCACGGCACCGGGTTTTGTAGTGGGAAGACACGGCGACTTCACGGAGACCGTTACCGTATAGACGGCACCGGTGCGTGTGAAAGCTCTCGTATAATCTTCGACCTTTAACCGTGTAAACGGAGCCGTTTGGACGGTCGCCTCGTATGTGTGAAACGGGCCTATCAGAGAAGAAGATGATTTTATTGTTTTTGTGGAGAGATTCTTGACTCGTATCGGGAAAATCTTGTTGTGCTTTGCGTTGGGTCATGCAGTTCCAGCCAGGATGTGACAGTTGCGTTGAAGTCAAAGCACACTGTAGCACCTTAATACGGTATTCGATGTGTTAAACACCGCCGTGAGTGGAAACTAAGCTAATTCCGCCGTCGACTTATGAACTTTGTGGTCTACGAGACAGCTCGTGATGAGTTTCATGAGAAAGTGTTGAAACCTGTTTATATAGAAAGTTAGAACTGAGTGTTAACAGACGAAATTTAGTATCCGTAATCTGAGTTCTGATTTTGATGTATTGATACATGTGTATGACACAGAAAACAGTGATGATAAGGTAGCACCAGGTACTTGGCTGATTTTTGTAATCCTTCCAATCTAATCTTGCAAAATTTGTTTGAAATGTCATGGTTAAGAATAAATTACGAGGGGGGGATATGATTCAGCTTTGTGACTAAATGTTAAGATCGAACTACACACATCCGTCGATTTTCGAATGTGGTCCGGGAATGGAGTGGGTGACGGGTCTTCGGGTTTCTTATAAAAGGTGTGGGATTGCGTAACCAGCTAAGCGACTAGCTTCGTGGGCAGGGCTGCTCTACTCCATTGAGTTAATCACTTTGCTATTAAAATGGTATGCGGAAGTATAAATGTGTTTGAAGCGGTTACTGAAATGTCAGTTTTTATGTGTGTTCTCTATAAAGAATGGTTTATCATGACTTGCTATTGCATTCTGTTACCATAGACGTATTTTTCAACCTTCAAGTGTGAATTAACTTTCTATTAATACAATAAACAATGCTGGCTGCATGTAAGGTGACATGTGATAGAAGCGATTCCTATGGATGTATCATTATTACGTAACTGGTGTGCCACAAATGTTTTGTAAGAAATTGTATATTGTAATTAGGCAGTACCTTGCCTTTCGTAAAATATAATTCATAACTCTGTCTCATGTGTGTTGTTTTGTGTTCATATACTTACATTTTGATATGCAGATCCATTTTTTTTTGGTCGTGTATAATTTCATAGATCATCTTCGTGAGACGAGATTTTGCAGTGTGCCGTCTTGTGTCTTTGGTAAATAAGTTGTGCCACGGGTGAGAAAGGAGGTTGTGGAACACTGCTGTGTGTCATTTTCGTTCAAGATCTGTTCCCTACAGACTCTGTTTAACCTTAATTAATTTCGATATTTTAGTCATACATATTGGGTTAACGTACTCAATGCCTTCACCTTAAGTTTACCAGACGACGCGACATATTTTGGATTTTGGTAACGACCCAATCGGATTTTTAAACGGTTTGATGATAATTATACTCCATATGGTTAATTTTTACTTTGGTTGCATGAGATGTCATGAGTTCTAAGGAATATTTGTGTCCCTTTCGGTCCGACTCCCTTTGTACGTTTGCTAATAACAGGATGCTAGATAAGATAAATTAAGTGTTATAAGACTGAAAGATTCAAGAGAACACTGGACACTAATCTCTCGAAATGTTGCTGATTTCCAGATATGAGTTAAGTCGGAAGATTGAAACACAAATTACGTATCAGAATTTCGGTTTCCTCCATTCTTAGTCGAGTGAATGTATTTCTTTGAAAGCATTTCATATATCGAACTCACTTAGAAGAAATACTGGTTGTCAGACCAACGCGGTACGATACAGCAGTTCACAGCTACACAACGTCAAATACAGGGGAATTGAGCATTCCGTGTGCACGTCAGTATTTAACGCTGAGAAAAGTTTATATCGTATCCTACCGAACCGCTACTGCGGTGGTTTGAGACAACCTTAAGGCAATTTTGTCCTGTTAAAGATAAAGTAATGTCCTCAAGCTTTCAAAATAATTGCCCTCGAAGCGTATGGAGAATTATGAGCAAAAACTCCACGTATTGTTGGCTTCGGCACTGGACGGTCATTTTATTCCCCGGGAAATGAGTCGGGATAATAATTGGGAAGGAGACTGGGTGAGCTGTAGAACCGATCTGGATGCAGTGGCGAATTTCTGCTTCCGTTGGTAACTGAACTCCGGTGGTCTAGCCTATAGCTCAGTCGGTTTACCGACTGAGCTATCCCTGCTCAACTTTCAAGAACTAATCTACGTTTCCCGTCCTTTACGATTGATAATTTGGTTCGTTTTACGAAAGGATGGAGTTTGTTCGTCATGTCCCACAGTGTGGAAGCTTTCTTAGGGAATGACATTTTAAGCTTGTTGAAGGCTAAACTAATTTGACGGTACTGTGTGTTATTAGCACGTATATTCCAATTGCATAAACAGATACGCTTCGTCAGAAAGACAAGGGAGAAAGAGCGGACATTACATCAGGAAGGATTTTAACGCTGTCGTATCAAAAAGATTTTAGAAACATGGTCTGTCTTCTGTATCCTCCGTCTCTTTAAGCCGTTTTTTCTGTTGTTGCTACTGATTTATTTATTTATTTACTTTCCTTCGCTTAAATTCGTTATCGAGTTATATTTCTACATTTCCAAAACCTGTGATATTTCACCGCTTCAACTTGGAGCACAAGATACAGCTAGAGGACACTTCTATCCTCTCCTCAAAAACCGGCTACATGGACCGGTTAATCAGGGAAGCCATCGAGATCGAACTTCATCCTGATAACTTTAACAGGGAAGATGGACTTCACCTGAGCCGGTCCTGGAAGCCTCTGATCCACACACTCCGAGGACTCCGAGAACGAGCAA